GGCTGCATTAAAACCAGGTCCGGTTCTGTTCTGGATCCGGCTGCATTCAAACCAGGTCCAGTTCTGTTCCGGATCCGGCTGCATTAAAACCAGGTCTGGTTCTGTTCTGGATCTGGCTGCATTAAAACCAGGTCCGGTTCTGTTCTGGGCTCAGGAACACTTCCACAGATTAGTGTCTTTGAGTATTTAGGAAAGTGCTATACAAATAAAATGTATTATTATTATTATTATTATTATTATTATTAGTGTCTGTAAACACAGTTCATCCATAAATGCTGCTTAAAGCTCTATCAGGCAAAGAAGAAGCCAGATGTGAACACCATCTAGAGCCTCTGCCGTCTTCTCTGGACCAGAGCTCATTTCGAACGGACCGAGGTGAAGTCCAGAACTGTTCTGTGGTCAGACGGGTCCAAACCTGAAGTTCTGTTTGAAAACCACGGACACCACGTCCTCTTTACTAAAGAGGAGAGGGACCGTCCAGTCTGTTATCAGCTCACAGTGCAAAAGCCTGCCTCTCTGTTGGTATGGGGGTGCATTAGTGCCTCTGACGTGGGCAGCTTACACATTCTGATCCTGTTGGTGTGCTCACTGTGTTCCGTGTGAATAAAATGTTTAGAAGAATTAATAATCATTATGTTCTGTTTTTATTTTTCACAACATTTCCAGGACTGAACTCTTTAGATTTCCTTTATGTTAAAGTTTTGTCACTCTGGAGGTTTAATGCGAAACAAAACGATATTGTGAAAGCCTGCCCTCTTACTCCGTGATAATCCCCGCCCACCTGCTAATCCAGGTAAAAGAGAAGCTGCTGATCAGCGTGACGCTGTAACGACAGAGGTAGGTAGATTTCCTGCAGGTGGGATCAGCTGTGACCATCGACAGCAAAAAGGACGACGACTACAAAATAATAGAAAAATAGATGTTTTGCAAATCTTCAACTGAAAATGGAAAAATAAATTCTGAGTGGAATGGACAATGCTCCAACAACATGAAGGTCTGATCCGAGGAAGATCAGGAAGTCTTTTTGAACTAAAGCTTTTCTCTCCGTTTGTTGTTTTTTTTGTCTTTTTTTTTGGTTTTCAGTTTTTGGTATTGGGAGATTTTGGTTTAGATCTTTGTGTTTCTCTTCGAGCACATCTTTTTTTATCTCTTAACAAGACGTTTGCTGTCTCGGAGCCTTTTGGGCTCGTCAGATGAGTCTTTTCTTGGCCTCCAGTTTCAGTTCTTCTTCGTGCCGTCATCGAGGTTTTTTTTTTTTTTAGGTGCTCGTTTCCTGAAGCTTGTCGGTGACACCTCTCCAGATCATTATTTGGTTTCAGATTTCCCCCCATCCTTCTGCGGTTCTCTCCATCCTCTCCATCCTCCGTCTCTCCTGCGTCCTCCTCTCGTCCGTCTGAGTGTATTTTTGGCATCAGGAGACGTCAGAGGGAGGAACGCAGCGAGACGAGCCAGAGATGGATCAGACAGAGAGATGGCTTTGGTTCAAAGGCGATGTTGTAGATTTGGATTTTTAAAAACTCCTTCATCTTCTGCTTCCTCCTCTTCCTCCTCGTCCTGCTCCGAGGGGACCCCTCTGCTGGTCATCAGCGATCACTCAGCCATGGCGCCCCCCAGAGGGGGCGGCGAAGCTTCGCTGAAGGAACAGAAAGAGGCGGGACTTGAACAAGGGGACGCAGACTCCTCGGGGCACGAAGTTGGGCTCATGAGGTTGCTGGTGCCAGTGGGCGGAGACTGACAGAAGGAGGGTCTTGGGCCACACCCACCGCTGCCGCTGACCAATCCCATGGCGGGCGCAGATGATGTCACTGCGGAGCTGGTCACCATGGGGAGGAGGCCGGGGCGGTTGAGGAAGAGGGACTGGCGAAGGGAGGGGGGGACAGCAGAACCCCTGTGTCCACCCAGAAACATGTGACCCGGCCCCCCGTCGAGGCTGGAGATGGACAGCTGCCCGCCACTGGCTGCCAGCGCTGGGGGGGGGGGGGGACAAAAAACCACCAGAAAGAGGAGAAAAGACAGAGGTGGCAGGAGGAGGAGAAAAAGGAGAAAGTCATTATTAAAGAAAATAAACATCAACAAGAAAAACAAAGATGGTGAAAACAGAAAAACGTAAATATTTGTTGCCGAAGAGTTAAAGGATCAGCTGACTCAACAAAATACATTGATCAACAGAGTCTGAATGATCAGAGCCTTGTGTCAAGGTTCAACTGGTTCCACTGTAGATCCCAGTCCACACCAGCTCAGCTCCGTGACTACCCCCGACCGACCAGCAGCTTGTTACATGAATCACACAGACTGTTTTAAACTTCACAGAACCAAACACTGAGCGGAGGTTCTGTACCTCAGAATAAAGTGAGCTCCACAGCTCATTAACGAAACAACTATTGTAAAATAATAAACACACACGGTATTCAACAATAAATCCATCTGTAAAGTCGAGCACTGCGGGTTGTTTGACAGCAGGGACTGTGTGCACACTGAATCAAAACGTGGCACCTGGGTGCAGCTGACTCAAACTACGTGCACGCCACACGTGGGTCTGTAATGTCCCAACTACAAACGTCTGAAGACCCAGAATCCCAGCAGACGTTTGAAGCTGTTAACTCAGAATATCTTCAAGTAATCAAGTTCATTTTAAGACTTTTAAAGATGTGCAGACGCCCCGAAGCTTCATCTTTGGGTGTGAAACCACTAGAGGGAGCTCTTCCTCGGTTTCAGTAACCATTTTGAACTTCACTCCGAACAGCTCACAACTACATTACCCACAATCCTTTCATCTTAAGAACAAAGGCTCTGCTTCTAAGGTGTTTTGCGCAGTGGATTTCTGCTTTTTGGATCATAAAGTTTATGACTAAATTTCTAACAAACACGATTAACAGTTATTTTAACAATTACAAATAAAAAATGGAATCATTTTAAAAAAACTGAACTGATTGTTTCCGTTTGCGTTAGACAAAGACACACATTGTTGGGTGAAATGGAGACAAATCGAACAGAAAATCCATGGGATGAGCGCAAAACGTGCACGCTGATGATGAACATATGAAACCGAATACATTTCATCTCTTGTCTATGTGTCACTAAAGAGGGATATATTTAACATTAGGGTGTTTTTTTAAGTCTGTAAAAGTTTCCAAATAAACATTTAGAGCGTCTCTTTTGTAACAGAGTGACCCCCCCCCCCCATTCGTCTGGTTCCTCGAGCAGTAAACACGTTAATCCATGACAGCTCCGTGACTGTAAACATTCATAACACGCGTGTCCTCTGAGGGAGCCAAACCAGCAATCCTCTCCTGTCAACACTTCATTTCACCTCCTTTCATTTCACCTCCTTTCATTCCTCCCCATGAGCAGCGGCGCTGCAGTTCCTGGAACAGACTGTGTCCTCCTCATCAGCACACGGCCTGAAGGACGCCGGACAGAGGAAAAGGAGTGAATGGGCGCTGTAGGCAGATGGAGCGCACGGAGGATTTAAAGCTTGTTTGCGATGCCTAATTGATTTGACGGCAGAATCTTTTCGCCCGGTCAGAGTGAAAACGAGTTGTTTGGCCACCAGGTGTTGACATTGTGTCTGTTCGTCTGTTTACTGAAAGCTGACTCCTCCTCGCGAGCGTTGCCACGAGGGGCCTCTCGTCAGCCGCTGATAACAGCTGGTTATTGTACGAGAACGAAATCGAATCTTTCACCATATGAGCGATTCAAAAACTTTGTGCTGAGGAGGAGGAACGAACGCCGGTGGCGACCGTCAGCCGAAGCTTTACAAGAAAATTAATTTTGTACAGAGTGGATGAAAGGTGAAATGGAGACAGCAGACTGGGGGGGGGGGGACAGGGGGTCTGCTCGTACACACAAACCTTGCATGGTAGCCAGAGGATTGCTGCCAATGAGGGCCTGGTTCATCCCTGCGTTCACTCCCATTATTGTGTTCCTGAAACGTAGACAAACACGGCTGAGAGTTAATTAAACCAACATGAGCAAACGTCAACACGTAAATTAAGTTTAATGAAAATAAAAGAGTGACGTGGGCACGAGCGACCCCCAAGAGGAAGAAGTGAGTAAAGATGATGGATAGATGGATTAGATGTTCTGCAGAGATATGTTTGATTGTAAAGCAAAATTTTCTGCTGTTTTTTAAATTAATTTACAAAATAAAATAGGACAGTGTGCGTAGTGTTTATTATTGTACCGTCTGTCAAAAAACATAAAGAAAATTTTCACAAGTTACAAAAACTGTAAAAATTTAAATGATTGTTTGGTCAATAGTTATGAGATTAATCCTGTGGGAGGAAATAAATTCTGATTATTGCTTATATTAAAGTGGACCAAACATTGTTTTTGAATAAAGCTGAAGAACCTTTTCCATAAATAAAGTGAACAGATAATTATTTAAATGACGTGTATAAAGGGACAAAGAGCTGCGGTAATCTGACGGCACCAGGTGGATCGTTATGGAACGAGCTGGATGTTTCTGGACCCTCCTCATGAATCTAGTCCGAGTCTACAGAGATTAGAAGGTTTTTACTTTTAAATGTTTTGGTTTTAATACATTTTGACAAAGATTATTACTTTTGATTTGTCTCTTTGGATCACAAAGACAAGAAAATATCTCTATAATCACTGCTGAAGACAAAGTTTGCTTCTATGAACAAAGGATCAGAAAACATTGATTCCATTTGGTTCAGATGGACTCGTTCATAAAAAACAGCCCTGCAGGTTTAATTTTAGCCTAACCGATTCAAAGTGGTAACTAAATAAATAATAAACACTCAAACAAACATAAAATAAATAATAAACAATTAAAAGGCATCAATGAGTTTCTGAAAGCACAAACAAAATTAAGTTATGTTGGAAAAAGAAAAGGACAGACGGGAGAGTTCTCAGTCTGATGAAGGAGAAGATGCTCACCCGGCGTTGAGCCCGGGCGTCCCGAGGCTGGAAGGAGCCGGGCTGGCTGTGCTCTGAGGAGGAAGAGGAGGAGTCACAGAAGAAGACATGGCAGCCGAGCTGACTGGAGTCATGGGGCAGGAAGCTGAAGGTGACGAACTGGCACCTGGGAGGAAGACAACAAACGATGCTGAGTGGCGGGCTCGTTGCCGACGCGCTGAAGAGTTACGGCGTTGTTACGAACACTCTGGTGACGCCGTTCGTTCTTCGTCGGCAGTCGGAGGTTAACCAGCCTCCCAGTTCAGACTGGAGAGAGGCTGGAGGCAGCAGCTAAACTTTAGCCTCGACTCATTGGGCCAATAAATTTCCAGCTGGGTTTGTTACCTGTCAGGTCGTACGTCTTGTGTAGGACACGTGCGACGGCTCGCTCTGTGGCCGAGTCTATAAATCATGAGGACGAGTCATGACTCGTGGAGGTAAACAACTCAGGAAGGGAGCAGAGCTTCCATGTCAACAAAATATCACCGCTTTCTATTTGGGTCTCGCTCCGTGTCGCAGAAATCGCTTTTCAAGAAGAGGATTCTTCAGCGTTTCATCAAATCAGCGGACGACGCAGACATATCGGGGGCGGTTTAATCTTCCCGTGACCGACCTGTGGGTCCAGAAACATAACAGGTAATTACAGCTCACCTGTTGTGCTGAGGCTGGTGGTGACCTGGGACAGACCGTGGCTCGATATCTGCAGGCAGAAAACGAGAAAATCCATCCGATTGTCAAACAAATATCAGCTCAGCTCCAGGAACCACAGTTCAGAGCGGTAAAACGTTCAGACGTGGACAGTACCATGTGGGGGCTGTAGCAGTGGGTTTTGTGCGTTACGACAGGCGAAGTCTGGCTGGACAGAGGAGGGGTGCTGCTGCTGGACGGGTTGATGCGTTTCTCCTTCTGCCGGCGGTTACAGAACCAAACCCGAATCACCTCCTTCTCCATGTTCAGCTGCTCCGCCATCAGCAGGATCTCCTCTGACGTTGGCTTCTGGTTCTGAGGAGGAGAAAAGACAGAAAACTCATAAAACTGAAGGCTTCAGGTTCTGATCAGCCGAAGGAGGAAAACAAACGCGTTCAGTCACGACAAACAGGAAGTCCACCATGTCGCAGTCCAAAGGTTTTACATATGAAGACAAACCCGATCAGGTCTGAACCGGGCTCTGAAAATATTCAAATCTAAATTCAAGTGAACAAAAACTCACAACAGATTCCACTGTGCTGTCACTTATTAAACAAAACCCAAACATTAAAGCTGTGAGTGAGAAACTAAGTCCAGCTGATGACCCAGCATCTGCAGAACCTCCTATAGCAGCAAAAAGTCCAAACCCTCCAAACAAAACATAAATCAATCGGTTTCCAACTGTCCTGGTTTGACCTTTGACCTGCTAACGGAGGCCTGTAGAGTCTGACGTGCAGCTCATTTCGATGAGCGTTGCACGGTCTGACCTTCGGGGTGGATTTGCAGCCACTACTGGGATTTGTTTCCATAAAATCAGTGTAATTTAGGTTTGAGAGGCATCATCGGCCTCTGCTGCTACGCTTCCTTTCTTGTCCCGACGTCCGCAGACGAGTTCGGCTCCTACCGAGCTGAAGTTGCGCTCCAGCACCACTCGCACGTTCGTCTCGATGCTCGTGCGTTTCTTCCTGCGTCGGCCGGGGAGACCCTCGATGCCCAGCAGGGGGGAGGAGATGGAGGAGGGGCTGGGCAGCATGCTGTCCACCGCCATGGTTTCTGCAGAACACGTTAAAACAAAATGAAAATATTTCTCATTTGTACTTGAGTACTTAAATAAATGCTGCAAATAAAAAGAGAGGAAAAACTTCTGTAGTTGAGTTTAAACATTAGCAGTTAGTGTTTTATTATATCACACACAAAGGAGGTTTGTAAAAGAACATAAAATCTGCATGTTTTTTTTTTTCATCCTGATAAATTCATTTAGGAAACATTTGTGATTTATTACACGTTTATAAATTATTCTGTGTTAGCTTACAGTTCAGTCAGTAATAAAAAAAATTTCTGAATAAACTGCAGCAGCTGCCAATCAAATTCTCTCTATGATCCATAACGCTGCTTCAGCTCTGTAAGTCACGCAGCCGAAGTTCGGCTTTAACCCTTCAAATCCACAGCTTAAATTAGGAACCACAAGATGTCACAGCTTTTCACCAGCCTTGAACGCAGCATTACTAAAGTCACGTTCACGGCAGCTGATCGTGCGCAGCTGGTGATCTGTGCACGTGTATTTGACAACTCGTATGTGCAGAGCGGTGCTATTTGTGCAGTTTGAAATGTGCACAACTCTTTGTGCACTTGTGAATCTTGTTGCGTCTCACCGGCGTCACTCAGCCACTTCTCCAGCAGCGGCTTCAGCTTGCACATGTTCTTAAAGCTCAGGTTGAGCGCTTCGAAGCGGGAGATGGTGGTCTGGCTGAAGTCGTTGCCGTACAGTTTTCCCATGGCCACGCCCACATCGCCCTGGTGGAGAAAGAGAACCGGTGAGCGACCACGCCTCAAACACGCCACCCGCCGCCTCCTCCCCTACCTGTGTGAATCCCAGCTTAATGCGTCGCTGTTTGAAGGTTCGGGCAAACTGCTCCAGCTCCTCCAGGTCGCTGGGCTCTTCGGTCATGTGAGCGCCCTGAGCGCTGGGGGTCAGGCCGGAGGTTAACGAGGACGCCATGGCACTGCTGGACGCAGAGCTGGAGCCAACAGAGGTCACGACGCCACTGCTCACGCTGGCAGCTACAGAAGCTCCACCAGTGCTCCCAGCATCGCTGCTCTTCTCCCTCTGGAACGACAGGAAAGGACAAACGTGGATTAATTGTGGAGCTTTATGTTCATCACATGAAGTGTTAAACAGCAGAAGGAGCAAGAAGTTCTGTTATTTTTACTCTGTTTTGAAGAAACCACGTAAAGTTAGTAAAAGTAGAGACACCGAGTTAAAAAACAACTGAGCATCACATCTGACGAGAAGGATGGATTTACCTTTGTATTTTTAGGTTGGTGCTAAAAAAGGAACATTTCTTGTGTTTGCTGTCACTTGAAAAAATTTAAACCAAAACTCTATAAAATATTTCTCAACACGTGAATAAAAGTGATGAGACAATAATCAACATCTCACCGGAGCAGCAGAAAATCCCACAAGAACTGAAAAGTTTATTCTGATAAATAAACACATTTGATTAAACTTAAAATATATTTTCTTTCAGATGGTGTCCGAAAGAGACGCCCTGCAAAGCAAAGTTTCTACATACGGCTGATATGAGACAAACATTTCACAAGACGACGTTTTAATAATATATTTTTTAAAAAGTGAACTTTTTTGTCTTGAACCCGACCGGCTGGTACAGTCGTGGGCAACATAAGGGCCCGAGGGCCAAAAGTGGTCCGTGGACACCCTCGATCTGGCCCCATAATAATCCTCAACTGAAAAAAACAAAAACTTTTAAACAGTTTGATGAAAACCAGCATTTTATAGATGAAACTTAAGGAAGTTGAAATTTAACATCTTGGACAAATACATCGAAAACCTGTGGATTAAGATGGGCTAAAACTTTTTCTTTTTTTTAAAGTTGTGTTTCCACAAACTAAATTGAACTAAACTGAAACTTAAAAACTAGAAAAAGCAAACTTGATTTTAAAATTTTGTTTAAAAACTAAACAATATTTTGTCACAAGAGCCAGTTTACAGAAAGTATGTTAAATATTCCTAAAGATTATGGAAGAGATATTTCTGTTGAGCATGTTACAATAAAGACCTGAAAACAATCTTTGAGATCATTTTCTCAATTTCTCTTTGACCGATGTAAATATCTTGATTTGGACCTCTGTTGCATCTCTGAGCACGAGCTGCTGGAACAAAGTTCTACCTGTGCCTGGAGTCCCATGCGAGGTGGGGAGGTGAGGAGTCCCCCTGCACTTTGCTGAGGTAGCTGGATCAGATTTGCTGTTGAGAGCAAACCTGGGAAACCGAATAATAAAGAAAGTTGTGAGACGTTTATTACAAACATGACGAGCAGGAGGAGTCTGGTGTCCTCACCCTGCTGAGGCTGCTGGGACTGCGCAGGCTGAGACAGGAGGAACTGGGCCGGGGACTGGAGGGGATGACCCGGCATCAGAACCAGCTGCTGGAGCTGCAGCAGCTGCTGGATGTCCTGCAACACAAACAGCTTTCAGCTCGGAGGTTAGCGGCGAACGCTGCAGCCGCTGGGAGCTGCTCGTACCTGCGCCGTGAGCTGGATGGGCTGCGTCAGCGCCAGCTGTGGAGGGGGGGCCGGGACGGGATGCTCCGGTTTGTTTGGCTGATGCTGGGTCTGTGATGGGTTGTGTTGATGCTGCTGCTGGTTGGCCTGTTGCTGTGCGGCGGCGTGGGCGGCGTGCACGGCGTGCGCAGCGTTCGACTGCTGAACGGCCGCCGCCAGCAGCTGAGCCTGAGCCTGCTGGAGGAGCAGCTGCTGCTGGGCCGGGAGGAGCGCGGCGAGCTGGGAGGAGGAGGAGGAGGAGGAGGAGGAGAGTCACTTTAAAGAACATTTAACTTTCCTGCGAGGTTTCTTCTTCTATGGTTTAAAAACAAACTGAATATTTTCCACAACTTACACATATTACTCACAACTACATTTAAGTGCGACAATTTTATAATTTAATAAATCAAAATATAATTTTGCATCCATTTATGTTTGTCGTTTATGCTGGCTCCAGTTTGAATTTTTTTAAACTCAGTTATTGCAGAAGATTTTGTAATAATGGTCAAACATCAGTTTGATAGTTGTTCAAAGTGTTTGTGATGTCACATTCTTCTTCTTTAATGCTTATCTAATTAGAAACACCTCAATAAATCAACACTAAATCAATAAATAAGAAATAAATCTCATATTTAGTTAATCTCTTTAGCGACACAAAGCAGAGTAATGTCTCTTTTTGCTGCAGTTTGTTGGGATTGGAATTAAAAGTTTGCTGAAATCAACAGCATTTCTGAGTTGGCTGTAAGAAAAGCTGAAGAATGAAAGATCCTGGACCTCGAGCTGCATCAAACTCCGACTGGCTGCAGGAATCAAACGTTTCACGACGCTTCTTTTTGTTTGTTTGTCATTAAACCGGTTGGTGATCATGTAAACCAGCTGCTCTAATGTTTTACACAAAGACACGACAGCCACCAGGGATTCTTGAAGCTTTTCTGATTTAAAGCCTCTTTTCAAAACAAGTTTTAAAATAAATGTTTTTTAAAACGTGATTTTCTCAGTTAATGAATAAAACAAGAAGCTCAGTAAACGATTCTAACTATTGCTGAATCATTAATCACAACAAGCATTAACGACAAATTAAAACACAGAAAGAACATTTTTAGATCGTATAAAACTTTTCCAAGACGCATTTCAAAACATTTTATTTACACGTGCATCTCTACAAAGTGGAATATCAAGAAAAAGTTCATTTTTGTGAATATTTCAGAAAGTGAAACTCATAATTGTATAAATTCATTACACGGAGTGAAACATTTCAAGCCTTTATTTCTTGTCATTTTGATGATTATAACTTACAGATAATAAAAACAAATGTCAGAGTCTCAGAAAGTTAGAACTTTCCACAGCCAGCTGTTGGTACCGCTGGCGGAGTGGGTCGGTGCCGAGTCCTGCTGGAAAATGAAACCAGCATCTCCATAAAGCTCATCAGCAGAAGATGAAGATCTATAAACTGTCCTGCTAGATGCTGCGTGGACTGTGGACTTCAGAAAGCCAGTGGACCAGCACCAGCAGAGGACATGGACCCAAACATCACAACAGTCCAGTTCTTTGTGTCCTCAGCAGGTAAGACGCTTCTGCTTCAGGAGTGGCTGGACTCCAGGAATGAGACATTTGTAGCTCATGTCCAGGACCAGCTGGTGAGACACCAGGAGTTTAAAATCTTCAAATATTCTCATTTCCTTTTGTTTTTCATTATCTGTAAGTTATAATCACCAAAATTATAAGAAATAAAGTCTTAAATGTTTCACTCTGTGTAATGAATCTATGTAATACACGAGTTTCACTTTATGAAGTGACTGACAATAAATATTGAACCTTTTCACGGTGTTCTGACCTTTGGAGACGCACCTGCAACTCACAGCCTCGTCTTAGTGAGGAACCATTTCAGCACAAACTTTAAGATGAAGGATGACAGGATGAGGATAAAGAAACAAATTAAACTAAGTCAAATTTATTCTGGTGGTACTCTCTGTCCTAAAACTAAAACAATAACCAGATGCACAAAAAAAATATCTCTAAACGTCTGAATCTTCACAGATCCTCCAGAAACGGCAACAAAACATCTGGAATACATTTTCTGATTCCTAAAGATGTTTTAAAAAAGAACAAACTGAAGGTGGGTCAGAATGTCTGTTTAGCATCGGCACCATTTTCATTTTGTGTTTCTCACCCCTGCCAGCTGACTGCCTGCCAGCATCAGCTGGGTGTGGTGATGCTGCTGGGGGGGAGGAGCAGGAGGTGCAGGAGGAGCAGAGCTGTGTGTCATCTCTAAACTCTCCTCGCTCTTTCCCTGAAAGAAAAAAAGACAAAGTGGTCTTCAGGAAGAGTCTGACATTGTTTGATGATGGAGCTCCGCCTCCTCTGTAGCTCCGCCTCCTCTGGAGGTTTTCTTTCCTCCCAGGCTGAAGGTTCAACAGGATCCTGAAGTTTCTAAACTAAACATCCTGCACGCTCGCTGCCATACAACAGAAGGGACCTTTCCTCCTCCTGCGTTCTACAAACAAATCATTTAAACAATAACAACAATAATAATAATAATAATAACACAAGAGAACGTCGGCGGCTGCAAAATTCTGAAGCTTTGTCAGAAAGAACTGACATAATTTATATAAATCAAGAAACAAAAAGAGAACTGCTTCCTGCGATTAGCTCATTCTTTTATTTTCGAAACATTTTCTAAAGCGGGTTGTTCTGGAAGCTGCTGACCTCTGACCCCTACAGTCATTTCCATCCATCATGGCCGCACCGCCACTCACTGGCACCTCCTTCAGGTCCTCTTTTCCTCCATTTCCCTGTCTGAGCTCCTTTCTTCTTAGTGAGCTACAGGATGCTGATTTTCAAAACTTTTACTAACTTTTGAACTTTATCAGACAAAACGTCTCCCTAAATTAACTGTTCTAGTAATGACATCACTCATCGTGGCTCTTTTATTAGTGACGTTTTACTAAAAAGAGTTTCCATGTTGAAGCTGGTCACACTCACCTTGCTGCCGGCGGCTGAGGGAGACACGCTGTAGGAGCTTTTTATCATCTGGACCTGCAGAAAGTTCAGAAACGGTCACAAATCAATACTTCCTCAGAAGAAGGGCGCTCCGTCAGGCTGTGCAGATTAAAAAGCTGTGAAGGTTTAGGTAGGAGGTAATAAAAACAACGCAACAGCTCGGGAGCTACAAACATACAAATAAAAGTGTAGGAGTGGAAACACTTTAATGGGAGCAAAGTGATGACGTCATCAGGCCACAGGTACTTGTAATAAAATGGAGAAATGCTCCGAGTGATTTAAAATATGCAATGATGTCTGAGTATTCAGCTGAAAGGAGCATAACAAGCTGAAATTTGCAGAAAGAAGTTTGAAGAACAAAAATGTTTTAGCTAGCAGAAAGAATCAGAAAGGAACACAAAACAGCTGAAAAAAACAGCTGAAATTAGCTGAACAAATGTTTACATTTGCAGCAGGAAGCTGAAAGAAGCTGAAGCAGAACAAAATGTGTAAGGAGCAGTAAAAGGTTGTAAACACATCTAAAGATCTGAAGGAAGGAAAATGAGCTCAATTCATTTTCTGAGAACAAAATGGCAGAAAAGGCTAAATATTTCAAAAAGCTGAAGTTGTACCAAAACCAAAAGTCCCAGCAGGATTGTCCTGAAAGAGCTGAACGTTTTGATTCATGATTTGTTGAAGTAGATTGAAAACTGCGGGCCGAGAACCGTACGGAAGAAAAATGGATCACAACAGAGAGGATGAAAGGACGTCGGCTGTCTCCTTCTGCTCCTGAACAGGTCTCTGCTGAACATGAGGGACTCAACGAGACTTCCTGTTTAAATAAAGGTGAAATATTTTTAAATGTAGTGAAGCTAAAGAATGAACCAGAAGTCATCTGTCGGTTCAGAAACACCTTCCTGAACTCCCGGAAGAAGTCAGACGTTCTGTTTGTGTCTCGTAAAACCTGAAGCTTGCTGTGAGAAAACATTTAGCTCCGTCGCTCTCATCGGCTTGTTGTTTTAGTTTTAGCCATGAAGCCAGCTTAGTGGGACGGAGATGATTTTTAGAAGCAAATGATGCACAAAAATGAAGAAGAAAGAGGCCGCTCAGTTTCAGTGAATAAACAAATCGACAGACAATTCTCTTCATCATCATCTTCCTCCTGCAGAACAGACGGACATCCCACCGCCAGGATGAACCTCTGACATTCACGGCTGCGCACGTTTGTTGTAAAAATAACTTAAACTGTTTGTTTGGAGTTTTTACCAAACTGGGGAAACCAACCTGGTCATCAGGGCTGTTTCTGTCAGAGTCTGAAAAACAGAAAGACAGAAAATCTGTTGGTTGGACTCGATTCACAGAACGTTTCAGAAACTACGGCTCGCATGAATGAAAATATAAACATTTCTTGTGATTCCTATGTAATGACATAAGTGCAGGAAATAAACCCCAATAAAACAAAAGATTCATCGAATCGTCCTCCAAGAAGCTGGTTGCTGTTTTACACCCACAAAAAAAAAAACTTGTTCAGGTTTTATGACCTTTGCAGGTTGTCTTAATTTGCCTTCAGCTCCTGTAAAGATATTTAGTCTCAGCAGTTGGAATAAAATGAAACGCATCGCACGTCTGTTAGTGTTTGTGGGCGCTGAGGGGAAGTGAAGCTGCTCGTGTCGTACCTGAGCTGTCCCCCAGATATTCAGCTCCAGGGTTCTCCTCCCCTGAAGCTTTGGACATTCTGAGATCTGCACAGAAATGAACACGAGAGAGTCAGAACTAGAAAAACAAAATTAAACTAGAGAATTCAATCAAATCCAAGAGACTGAAAGCAGCAACATATTTTTTGTGGATGTTAGTTTTAAATCAGTTGTATTTTGTTGGCAATGTCAAATATTCACTGCCCGTTTTCATTAGATATAAAACAAACAAACAAATAAAACAGAGTAAAATATTAAATCTCTGCAACGCAAATGTTCGGCTCCAACAGTTCAGACGTAGAAGAATTAAAATAAACTTTAACGGAAGATCAATAAACATTTCTCACTCGAGCTTTGTTGGACGCAACACAACCAGATCACCAGGAATTAGTCAGCACCATCATCTTAAATAAAACGCCTCTTCGTCCAGATGTTTTTCACACCTCTGCTTGTTTATATTAAAACCATCTGTAACAAACAGCCAGCGTACAATCAGGGAAAAGATGAAAATCTGAGACTGATTTATTAAGCCACTCTGGTTATGGCACAAAGTTTTCAAGCCTTATAATAAACCCACTTCTGTCCTTCATCCTGCTACTCTTCCTCCTTACAGACAGAGAAAGAAACACACGGAGCATCTGAAATTAAAGTGTCGATCAGAAACGATATGAGCCGTCATCTCAACGTGGAGTAAAAACAAAGGGAGGAATAGAAAACGAGAGAACAGGACAGAAAGTAAAGTTTGTTTTGCGTCATGGTACCAGACGGTGGCAGCACTCAGTCAGACATGAGCTGCAGGAGTTCCAGGACAAGAACTTTAATATTTGACAGGAAAAAATACATGAATAAAAACCTGAGGAGGTGATAAACATCAGCTAAAATTATAAACTTCATTTATTGATACTTTCTGAGTTGAAGCTAAAACAAAAATACAGCCTCAGATCCGAGACTGAGCAGGAATTTAAACATTTGGAAATGATACCGACACGGTTTATTCACCAAACTTCAAACTAATTACATTTAAAAAATAAAAAGCCACACCGATAAAAACTTTACATTTAAACGAAAACAAGACAAAGTGAGGAAAAGTAGAGAATTCTGGGCGTGGTAGCTAAACCACAGCTGAAAGCTAAAAGTTCAAGTATCTTTATTGCCGTTAGCATCACATGTGGTACATGAGGTGGAATGAAATTATGTACTGGTCCCAGTTACATCCAACAATAGAAAAAAATAAAGCATAAAAAAGAAAAGTTATACTAATAATTAGGCTATATAAAAGCTGTAATTATAAAAATTGTAGCTAAAAAGCTCAACCAGTTGCTAAAAGTAAAAACTAGCAAAACCGCAGCTAAAAACTAAGATGACCAAAACTGTAATTAAATGGTAAACTTTGTAAAATCATGTAATGAATGCTAAAATAACCAAACTGTAACAGAAAGCTCAAATTAGCTAAATCTTAAGCTAAACTTCAGAGCTAAAAGCCCAAACTAGCTAAATTATAGCTAAAATCTGAAATGACCACAGCTGAAATTAGGAAAACTAGCTAAAAGTCAAAGTCAGAAAACCACAGCTAAAAACTGAATGTAGTGAGACCGTTGCAAAAAGCTAAAAGAAGCGTATGAAGGCTAAAGGTTTCAGAAAACAAGTTTTAAAGGATTTCGAGGGATCTCAAAGATCTTCAGCTAATTATCTGATCATCTTTCAGTGACCCCTCACCCTCTCATCATGTCATGTTTTAACCTGGCCCCCCCGCCATCATAACCGACACCTTCAACCCCAGATGTCCCCCAGATGTTGACCAGGTGTCCATCCAGTCCTGATCTGACGTCAGCTTGTCTTTAGAGGCTGAACACAAACTGCGTAAAGAAAATTAGGGGTAAAGTTTTTCACCTGACCTCTCCATCCAGGAGTGGGGGGTGGGGGTTCATAGGGCAGAAGATGTATCCGTCAGGGTCACTGTCAGGGATTTAGAAAAGGTGGGGGACAGAATGGCTCTAAACTCAACGCCCTCCCCCTTTAACCCCACCACTCTCCCTCCTCTTTGCCCACCCACCCCGCCTCGGTCACGCCTGTCAGGGGCCGGTGACAGACGGCGCGTGGGGTTCTGTGTGTGTGTTTGGGGGTGCTGTTTGAAGTGTGGAGGTCAAAGGTCAGGCACATGGTCTCGGCCACCTCACGCTCTGCACACACAAGCTGCCACCTGCCCTGCCCCCCCCCCACACTGTCCCACCCGCTCGTACTAAGAGAGCCACAGAGTCAACGAGCTAAACGAAAACTGCTGCAGAAAAAACACCGAACAATCCTTTTAAAATTTGTTTTATTTTCTTTAAACTCCGTTCTACAACTTCATGTTTGACTCAAGAATAAGAATTTAAATTCTTAAACTTTTTTAAAGAGTTTAAAAATCCAAGAGTTTTACTGTGAATGAAGATGTTTTTAATTTTTAAAACACTTCAGAGCAAGAATATGTTTTATTAACTAGAAGCCCACCTCTGTTAACAAATTTAAATTAAATTAAATCTAACAAATTAATTTAAGGAGCTTCAAAACTGAATTTAAAATTAAAATTTGGATTTGATGGGCAGATTTATGGCTGTTCAAAAAGTTTGAAATCTGTTTAATCAGTGAGAAAATTAAAGTCTGACAAAAATACAATGTAAATATGAGGTTGAGCATTATTGAATTACTATTCTCTCTAAATGTTTAATCTCAAACAGAAAATATAAAAACACTGTGAAGTTTTAGATTTATTTTCTGATGATTTATTTTGACTAAAGTACAATGTGTTTATTTAAAGTTCTGCATCTTTTAAAATATTTTTCAAAAACTTTGGGGACTAAAGAGCAGAATTGATGTTTTGTTGTTTTATATATATATATATATATATATATATATATATATATATATATA